CTCTCCTTGGCTGGACAGAGGAGAGAAAATACAACAAAAGCTAATGGGTTGAAATAAAGACAAGAAAGGCCACTCACCAGTTACAATCATGGGCAAAACAGACTTGACTTGGAAAATTAGCTTAATTTATTACCAATCAAATCAGAGTAGTGTAATGAGATATAAAACTGTATCTTATTTCCACCACCCCTCCCTTCCTCCTGAGCTCAACTTCACTCCTGATTTCTCTGCCTCTTCCTCCCAAGCAGTGCAGGGGGACTGGAAATGGGCATTGTGGGCAGTTCATGTTGTCTGTGCTTCTCCTTCCTCATCAGGGGGAGGACCCCTCACACTTCTCCCCTGCTCCAGCGTGGGGTCTGTCCACTGGGAAGCAGTCCTCCATGAACTTCTCCAGCATGACTCCTTCCCATGGACTACAGGTTTTAAAGACCTGCTCAAGCATGGGCTGCCCACTGGGTCACATCCATCTGCTCCAGCCTGGGGTCCTCTATGGGCTGCAGGTGCCTCTCTGCCCCACCACTGACCTCCATGGTCTGCAGGGGGACAGCCTGCTTCACCATGGTCTTCACCATGGGCTGCAGGAGAATTTCTGTGCCTCACCTCCTTCTTCCTTGACCTTGGTCTCTGCAGAGCTGTCTCTCTCCCATTTTTTCATTCTCTCTCTGGCTGAAGTTGTTGTTAAGCAGCAACCTTTTCCCCTTCTTAAATACATTATCCCAGAGGTGCTACCACCATTGCTGGCGGGCTCAGCCTTGGCCAGCAGTGGGTCTATCTTGAAGCTGGTAGCAGTGGCTGCATAAGACACAGGGAAGCTTCTAGCAGCTTCTCACTGAAAACCCCCCTGTAGCCCCCCAGCCACCAAAACCTTGCCAGGCAAACCCAATACATTACCCAACACAGCAGCCCTCCTAATGATCAGACAGGATCTGCAGACTCCTAATTGGGCATTCTTAATGTCCAAAGCACATGCAGGCTGCTTCATGCACCCCCAAACTCCTCTGCTCTATCCAGCTTCTTCAAGAAAGTGTCTGTCTGGAAAAATGAGTGAAAAGCCAGCAGGAACCTGGATTTGGTTAAAGCTGTTTTTCTTAGCTGTACCAGCCCTGCTGGTGTTGCTGAGGGTTGCCTGTTGGCTCTGAAAGCCACCACACCTATAGTCCCTGTAGCCACTTCCTGGGAAGGAGGGTGGCAAACCACCAGTGTGACTGTTTCACTAGATACAGGGGCAAAAAGTAGAACAAGCAAGTGAAATGAAAGCTGAACAACTTACTTCAAATGCCAGCAAATGCAAGGTGAAGAGCATTGTTGGAGCTCTGCTATTATACTGCTCTTTTACTGCCAGCAGTTAGTGATTCCTCTGAAGTGGCTGGAGAGCAGCCTCATTTCATTCTGGCTTTCCCACCTCAAGTCTCTGTCCTTCACCTTATGTCTCTGCTGGATTAGCTTTTCAGCAGCAAACTCACTAGACATGAAATAACCAGTGGCTGGAAATCATTCTTCCACTTTTTAATTTGTTCTTGTGTGTCCCATTTTCTCTGTATTTGGCAGCAGGCCTGTTGATGCTTCCTCATTCTTCTGGTGCCCAAGAGTTGCCTGGAATTAGGCAGTTTTGTGGGCTCAGCATCAGTTTTCCATCAAGCTGCATTGCCTTCCTAGAAGTTAATTGCATGTACTGAAATAGTGCAGGTGACACTGGCATTTTCAGACATGGAAACCCTTTTCATAGCCAGCACCAGAAACTGCCAAGTGCTTAGGACAAGCTATGCCTGTTCCCTCTGATGGGATCATACTCTCAGTGTCTTAAGCCAAGCGGCAGTCTTGAGGCTGAGGGAGTCCTAGGGGAGCACAGTTCTCATCTAATACCCATGGGAAATACTTGACTACTATACCAGAGAGTCTGGGAGGACTCAGAAGGAAAGAGCAATGCAGCTTTTCATTCCCTGAGAGTTGTGCAGGTGCATATTTGGCAGGGTTTCACACAAAGGCTAGCACAGTTGGGTCAGTGGGGGGTTATCATCTTAGGATTCATGCTCATGTGAGTGTAGCAACAGACAATATGGGGCAGACTTCAAAGAAATACACCATTTACTTCTCAAGGCTAGATTGTGGTTCCTTCTCTTTAACATGCTGATTTATGTATTTTGATTGCAACTTCTGTAATAACAACTTTAATTTGTGAAACTGCAGGGTTTTGTTAAAATATTGGACACTGAAGGTAACAATTTCAGGAGTGCCCAAATCAGTCACATTTCTAGAAGGAGCTTGGGCACTTAGGTGGAGCTTAGGACCCTACCCTTCAAAGAAGCATCTGAGAGCCAAAACCAAAAGAGCTGGAAGCCTGGGAAAGAGCTCACTACCTGTGAATTATGTTCACAAACTCCACTTCCTATACCAGATGGAGGCACTGAGCAGAAAACGGTGAAAACCTTACCCCATTCTGATGGACCTGATGGTTGGTGTGTGGGGGTGGAATTTATAGCTCAGAATTAGTTCAGGAGATTGGCATCCAAACAGTCCTTGGGGTGATGGTGGAAGTAGCAGTAGTTCATAATACGTGTAAGGCTCAAATACCAGGCTTCCTTGCCTCAAATCCTGACATGACTCATCCACATATCCACCACCATCCAGGAGCTTCTCCTAACACACTAGGGCTGAGTAGGCCTCCTGTTCCCCTTGGAAGCCATTCATAGCATCCAAGAGCGAGAAGGACTGTTGATTCATGCTTAAGAAATCTGGCTGAGGACATGGGCATGAGCATTCCTATTTCACTTACATTGCATTGGGATTGTTCACTCCAAGGGACTAAGTAAGTGAAAAAAGGGATTAAATAGGAAATCTCATATCATTCAAACCCACATGTTGCAATAGGACTCAGCATAGAAACAGTCATGGAGAGACCTAGTGGAGGAAAAAGACACTTTGCAGAAGTCCAGATTCATCAGCCAAGTGAGTAATCTGAGTTGGAGAAGAGCTTTAGTGCCTGTGCTGAACAGTCAATAGGGGCAGAGAGCACCAGCCTTGGCAGAAGATGAAACCTGCAAACTTGTTTCTGAGGCAGGTGCCTTTTGTGAATTATACAGCCTCCTAAAGCCTTGGCACCTTGTCTCAATGCTGTGTATTTGTGGTCAGCACTGAAGCTTCTGGCGTCGCTGAGTGGAAGTTGGTTTGTATTTAGGGTTGTAAAAATTTACCTCCATAAAACCCCACTTTATCTCTCTCTATCTGAATAGCAAAATTGATGTGGCCTGCAAAACAGCAGCCTTTTAGTCTGGAGACAGAGATAACCAATGTATTTGCAAGTTCCAGGCCTGATAAATTACTCTGATTTAAGGTTGTTAGTTCAATTCTGTGTCAGTCTCTTTGTTGCTCATGCCAGAGAGAGTTATTAATCCGATCCTTTCCCTGCCAAGTTTAATGAGCATTTATTCACCTCTGCTGTCAGCAGGAGCAGGACTGGGCATAGTTTGTAGGAGTATGTTGTACTCTTCTCTGAAAGTTCCTCAGACATGCTCAACATCACAATCTTTAGGCATCCCTGCTGCTTATTTGTCCTTCAAAACCAGGAAGCCTTGGATATGTGTTCCCCTGCCCTTACCTGTGTGGAAGGAACAGACTTGGCCCATCTTGCACTTGCACGCCCTGGTAGGCGTGGTGCTTTCCCCCAACAAGTGGGAAAAGGTGATTTTTCCTCCAAGGGGAATAAAATCTGCAGAAGAAAAAAATATATCAGCACATTTCACAAAGCGCAGAGTAAGCAGAAGCAAACTTAATTAACTATTCAGGTTACCCAGCAAGCAATCTGGTAAACTCCTGTGATTCAGGCATGCCACAAAACAGTTCCCAACATTTTCTCACACGCTGGAGGATGTTTCTAAGCAGGCCTTTTCCTGCCTTGCTGGCCCCACACTTGGTTTTTCCCTGCAAGTCTTGTCTGGGGTTGCAGGATGAGATTGGGGCAGTTAGCTCAACTTTTGTGGCTCATTACTGACCAAACCCAGCTGATTTCCCAGAAGAAATAAGGCAGGACTTTGAATGAGAAAACTGAATATCAGTTTATATGAAAACACATTATCCATGGGCTCCTATCCCTGCTGGAGGCAGGGCCATATGAATACAGCATGGCAGAAAGCTGAGATTTTGGACCTGAATCCCAGTCGTGATCCTGTGTTGAGAAGTTATTAAGAGAAATAGTCTTTCATAAAGCAGAAGCTAATTTAAATCCCCTTTTGTACTGAATACATAAAGAAAGCTTGACACACTGTATGCTTTTTAAGGTACGTTTCAACAGCAAGTAGAACATGCTCTGAAAATTTAAGCAAAAAATATGCTGTTTAAAAATACAGCTGCAGAATATTTTGCCCTTTTTTTTTTTTTTAACAAAGAAAATAATATTCCAAGAATCAATCTGAGGTAAAAGAGAAAGACACACAGGGGACATCATAGGTTGCCAGGAGGAGAAGTAGAGAAGACAGTAGCACTTTCTGCTGTAGGATGTGTTAGTCTGGTAAATTGCTGTCTAGGGAGATAGTAGTAACTCAGGCCTGGTGTCAAATTAGGTTGGACTAACACTAATGATGGAGACCCATTTCCAGCCCCATCGGGCCCCTCAGCAGCATCCTCAGTAGGAGGAGAAAAGGTAGAAGGATAAATTTCAGCACAAAGCTGAAATCTTAGGCTCCATGCAGCAGTGGGGTGCAGATAGAGGCAAGGTCTCTCTGCCTCAGTCATGTCACATCTAGAAGCTTCATGACCATCTTAGTGTGGTGTTGTCAATAAGCTGATGAGGTGCTTTCATTTTAGCCTCTGGTGACCTTGGAGGCAATGGGACACGGCTCATCTAGCCTTTGCAGTGTCCCTCCTTGGCAGATGGAGAGCTCCTGTTCTTTGCTATTAATTCTGATATGCCTTTTGCTGCTACCGAATCTGGGGTTTTGCAGCTGTATGGTGGCCAGCCAGGCTATTGCCTAATTTTGCTTTTCCCCTTTGTATCCCATATGCAGAGAAGCAGAGGGAGCTGGCTCGGAAGGGGTCCCTGAAGAATGGCAACATGGGAAGCCCAGTTAATCAGCAGCCCAAGAAGAACAACGTGATGGCACGAACAAGGTAAAGGACTGGGAAAGCACTCAGCTATGCTCTAGGCTTCAGTCCCTAATGGCCTTAGGATGGGCAAGGATGATATTTGTTGCCATTTATCTACTGCCAAACACTTCAAAAACAGTGATGGCCCTTCCTGGAGCTGTCAGACCCAAACACTGTCTTGCAGCCTGTCCCCTGGGGAGATGCAAGGACAGCTGAGCCCAGCACCAGCATCACTGCAGCCTGCAGGATGCACTGGCAACCCAGCCTGGTTGAAGTGGGGGGTTTGATGCAGCTGTCTTGCATGGTCTGGGTAGCCTCTTGTAACACACAATCCTGTCAGCAGGAGAGGTCTGATGCAGCTTCATGTAACACAAACTGGTTTAGAGCTTAGTTCAGCCTTGGCTGCTTTTTATCACAGTAGTTCCCTTGCTTCTTTTTTATGTTGACCTCTTCCCCACACTGACTGACTTATTGAAGGCTTGTAAATAATCTATTTCCATCTGATTTACTATACACCTCCTCTGCACTTTGAATCACAGGGTCATACTTTGCTGCTTTGGCACATTTCTGTATGACAGCATCAGCTGGTGCCACCAAGCACTGTAAACAAGAATGTTCCTAGCTGAACACCTCCTTTTAGAGTGTTTTTTTTTAATTTTTCCATGCAAGCTGTGGTACCCCAATACATCACTTAAATGCATTCAGGAGGCAGGAACCATACTGAGCCTACAGGATTGCATGTTTTGCATGCTTCTAGAAAGGTGGCAGTTTTTAGGGGAGGACTTCACTTAAAATGACAGAAGAATCTGCGTGGATGCTGGATGTTTACTGATAAATGGGAAAATTGCATGAATTAAGTATTATTAAGTACTATACATTAAGTAGAACAAGAGCTGCAAGTCAGAGCCTCTGTGTATACAACATATCTGACAGATGAGGTTCCTTGTTTACAGTAATTCCCAAATCACAAAATAGTTGTCATAAATCATACCAGAACTTTATCTAAAAGTTCTATTTGCAAGCCTCTGTGATGTTAGTGGAATATGCTGCCTTGCTCCCTGCTCTGTGTTTGCTTGTTGAAACCATATAAAGGAGCCAGATCCTTTGTGGCAGGAAGAATTTCAGCACCTGCTGTCAGCTGGGTTTTCCATGGCCACTATCCCTCCTTGTGTTTGAAATACAAGCTGGACTTGGTTTATTTTGGCAATAGGCTGCATGCAACCTGGTCTAGTGGAAGGTGTCCTTGCCCATGCAGAGGGGTTGGAACTAGATGCTCTTTAAGGTCCCTTCCAACCCAAATCATTCTGTGATTCTGTACTAGTTTCCCAAGAGGAATGCTGGCAAGTTTGCTGCTTCAGTTATTTAGAAACACTGAAATTAGCAGAGGGAGAGAAGATGGAATAGATACAGGTACCTACCTGTAAAATTAGTGGCTTCTGCTAGGTGAGGTTGTTGATTTCAGTGGCACCCATTGACAAAAGCTTTTGGACAGGCAGCTCAGTTTTTATTCCATTTATCACACCTGAGCACTGTTCAGAGAACATGTGGACCCCTCCACAGCCAAGTGAGGCCTGCTGGCAGTAGACTTGCTTTTCTTACTTCCTTGTCACAAAGCCTTTAGAAGCACCCCTTGGGATCTGTAAAACAGAGGTTTGCAGCCATTGGTTTAGTAGCAGATGTAGCCAAGCTCTGTTGTTCCCACATGGCTGGGAAGTGTCTGGCACAGGGTTCTCACCATCCCAGCTCCCTTGGCTTTCTGAGAACCAAGATGCACCATGAGGACAGCCCTAGTAATACCTCAAAATGGTTTGGTCTGTGTTGCCACAGACAGGGGAAACCCCAAGGAGGCAGAAATACCACAACCTTGATCAGGCAGCTTCTTTTCACAGTATAACAGATGCAGTATAATGGGAAAGACTCCGGGGGGATACACTGCAAAACATCCAGTTTCTGGTTTAAGTCTGAACTGATGGCTTCCTCTGATCTCTGCAGAAGGAGAATAAGCTAAAACCATTCTCTTTAACAGTTCTGCTCATGCAGAGGGGTTGGAACTAGATGCTCTTTAAGGTCCCTTCCAACCCAAATCATTCTGTGATTCTGTACTAGTTTCCCAAGAGGAATGCTGGCAAGTTTGCTGCTTCAGTTATTTAGAAACACTGAAATTAGCAGAGGGAGAGAAGATGGAATAGATACAGGTACCTACCTGTAAAATTAGTGGCTTCTGCTAGGTGAGGTTGTTGATTTCAGTGGCACCCATTGACAAAAGCTTTTGGACAGGCAGCTCAGTTTTTATTCCATTTATCACACCTGAGCACTGTTCAGAGAACATGTGGACCCCTCCACAGCCAAGTGAGGCCTGCTGGCAGTAGACTTGCTTTTCTTACTTCCTTGTCACAAAGCCTTTAGAAGCACCCCTTGGGATCTGTAAAACAGAGGTTTGCAGCCATTGGTTTAGTAGCAGATGTAGCCAAGCTCTGTTGTTCCCACATGGCTGGGAAGTGTCTGGCACAGGGTTCTCACCATCCCAGCTCCCTTGGCTTTCTGAGAACCAAGATGCACCATGAGGACAGCCCTAGTAATACCTCAAAATGGTTTGGTCTGTGTTGCCACAGACAGGGGAAACCCCAAGGAGGCAGAAATACCACAACCTTGATCAGGCAGCTTCTTTTCACAGTATAACAGATGCAGTATAATGGGAAAGACTCCGGGGGGATACACTGCAAAACATCCAGTTTCTGGTTTAAGTCTGAACTGATGGCTTCCTCTGATCTCTGCAGAAGGAGAATAAGCTAAAACCATTCTCTTTAACAGTTCTGCTGTTCCCATCAAATAGGTTTTCCTTCATTTGGGCAAACCACATTGCCTCTTCTAGTCTCTACTCAACCTCCTCCTCCTTCCTCAAGGGTTCTGTTCTGTATTATCTGTATGAACTTGTAACATCCAGCCTCTAGTACCAGGTTTCCTTCATGTTCTGGGGTAGGGGTACAGCCAGCCTTAGAGGTGAGAGGATCTGAATCCACAACATGCTCAGTCTCCCTGTGAGCAAACAGAATGTGAACAAGGTCGTGGTGATGCTGGCACACTTGCCATGAGCACAGGCAGAGCCCCCAGTACCATCTGCACCACAGCCAGATATTGCAGCCCACTCTGAAGGTAACCTAAACTCACATTTGTGTCATAACACATTTCCTGTTAAGAGAGCAAAAACACCCAGACAAGAAGCTCATCATGGGGCAGCTGTGGATGAAAGCAGCTATGACTGCTTCCTGGCTTTGTCCCAGGGACAGTGGGAAGCAAAAATAAGGACAATCAGGATGCTAGGGAATTACTTAGATGGGGGACAGACATACACTAGGTTTTGTCTGTTGCAGAAAAATTGAAGTTCTGTGTCGTTAAGAAAAAAGACATTTCTCAAGAAAAAGATTTAGTGGTTTTATTTGTTTGGTTTTTTTTCATTGAGTAAATAACACCACAGAGGGTTCTTCTCCTAGATCCCCTGATAGTGCTTCATTCGCTCATTATTTAGTAACAATTGTCAGTGAATATACATATTTCAAAACATGGAGAAAGAGCATGGAAGTCAGTGCTACTGATATCTTTATGGGCAAGCTGCTGTTGGTGCCAGATCACAGCTTTGGTTCCAGGCATCTTTGCTTCTTGACTTCCTTCCTGCAAGGTTCAGGAGAAGAAGGACCATTCCAGTGCTGTGAAAACGGGTATTGAATTTTGCAAATTGGAAAATCTGCATCAGTTTTAAAATTAATTTCTTCAATCTTGAGTTTCAATGCACATAGTAAGAAAACATAACTGATTGTGAATGTATATACCTGATTTCTTATAGTATTGCATATACTTGACACTCCCTGCCCATCTTCAGGCCTTAGTATTGCTAAAATTGTAATGGCTTCCTGAAATTTTCTGAACAGAAAAACATTTCAAGTAGCTAGCAGTTGGAGCATGGATGAAATGGATTATAACTTTTAATTTTTATTTCTCAAACTGTTAGTGACGCATCGTTGTCTATTGTTGTGTGTTGTTAAAAGCTAGTTCTTCATTTGGGAGAAAACGTGAGTTAACTGACTGAACAAGGAGATTTTCAGCACTCTTATGGCTTCCATCTGCTGAACATAGAATTTTTTTCCACTTGCTCAGTTTGGTTGATCTTACTTTAAGCATGAACAAAAGTATTTGTGCAGTTTTGAGGATGAAAAGAACTATGTTATGAGTCAGATGCCATTGTATTAATACATTTTCCTTATCCCAGAAGCTCTGAAGTCTGTATTCCATTTCACAAACTCTCTCAGGCAATTAAAGGTGCAAAGTCATCATCAGCCTTTGTAACATTTCTGATGGAGTGAAAGTCATTACAGAATAATGGGATTTTAAAAGTGCTAGTCTGACTGAGCTGTTACAGTGCACCCACTAGCTCATATGTCTCGTATTACTAAATTTAGGACTGAGACCTCAGAAGGGTTGTGTTGGAGGAGCTTGGGTAGGGACTCAGGCAGAAATCATCCCAGATATCCAACAGCAGAAGCACTGAGTCTCTGCCTTCCCTTAGTCTTCTTTTGTTTACTCATTGCGAGTGTCATGTACTCATTGCTAGGAAAAAAAAGCACCACAAAAATGAGTGAACTGATAGGACAAGCAGTGCTAGCTGAACAGTTTCACCCCCAAAAGAATCACAGTGTCCCAACCATCTTTTCTTTCAGAGAGGAGCATGTTCCCAAGGTATGTGGAGCATTTATCCCTGTGAAACTGCTCTAAGCTACCCAGAGACACAGCTTGCTCCCTCTGAATTACACCCCTTTCAACATCTTCACAATCAGGGAGGCCTTGCAAGGAAGTGAAATGGGGAAAGCCTACCTATCAAATAGCTGTGCCATAGGCTATGTGTGATGCTAACCTTTAATCTATGACTAATGGACAACTTTTGATTGTTTCAGGCTCGTCGTTCCTAACAAGGGCTATTCCTCATTAGACCAGAGTCCAGATGAGAAGCCACTGGTAGCCCTGGATACGGACAGGTATGCAAGGTGTGACTGAGATGGTGTACAGTAGGGTGCAAGTGAGTTTTCATGCCAGAGAGCAGCACTGGAGCTGTCTCCTGCTGGAACCATTCTTGCGGGCCACTCGCACACCTCCTTGCTGTGCCCTTGGGTGTGTGCCACAACCGGTCGGTGAGTGTAAACACGTAGGAAGGGATGTGAGTCAAGAGCACTGTAATGGAAAGATCTGAGGGTCACAGATGAAAGTTGCTCTTTAGATTCCTTTGATGTAATTTCTCCATGCCTCAAGGGCAGCTTCATGGCACAAACCAAAGAATGCAGATCTCTCTTAACTGCTTCCTTCTTTGCTGTATCTTCTTCCCTGCAGTGATGATGACTTTGACATGTCCAGATATTCCTCCTCGGGATACTCATCAGCTGAGGTGAGTTATACTCCTCTCCTGCCATCCTTCCCATGAATGCTAATAATAGAGCAGCCAGAAGTGTCTTTGAGTGGCCTGGTACTTGGCTACACAATGAATTTACCAGTGGTGTGGATTCTGTGAGTCTAGAAGGGGCTGTGGCAGAAACTGTGTCATGTTGCTTTCTTCCCTGGTGATCCATTTGGCTCCATCCCTGCATTGCCATGGCAGAGAATTGCCTGTCAGCTGTTTTCACAGCTACCTTTGGCTTCACTCAAGCTTTCCCCAGTTCTGCTCAGTCTGGCAGGTTTGCCCCATGTGGTGCAAAAGCATCAACTTGTCTGTCACACCAGCTCAGCAACCGTGTGCTTGCCAAGGACACAAGTAAAGAATCTGGGGACGTGCTGTGATTCCCAGTTCTTGGGGTGGTCAGGGTCACCCAGTGTGTGTTTACTTGGAGCAGGCAGAAATTCCAGGGAGGACTTGCAGATATGAACTCTTGTCCTTTCAATGAGAAAAGGCAGGAAACTCAAGCTTGTTAATCTCTCTGCATTGTTTCTGACTATACTCCCAAGCTCTCTCCTGAATGAGTTGCTCAGCCTCTGGTTATTGCTTCTGGTTTTACACCCAAGGTACCGAGTGCCCTCCTGCTCACAAGCTGCTGGGAACTCTTCACCCAGATATGGTTAGACAAAACTTCAATCTAAGATTGTAAAGAGCCAAGAGGCTTTACCACTTTTCAACTGCTACAGCGTGTGGCAGACTGAGAGGAGAGAATGCCCAGCTGCCAGTTGGTTTATGAAAATGAGTATTACATTACTTTAAATGAGGATTTGTCTTCATGGAAGGATTATTCCAGAATAAGATAGGTATCAGTTTGCTACTGTGGGATATCTCATTCTAGGTATTCCTATTCTGAAGGAAGCTAGAACAGAAGGCAGCCCTTAGCTGTGGTCAGAAACTGGGACTCTTTCATTGGTGGGGCAGCTGCTGTTGATGGGGAAAAGTATTCCAGAATAAGGAACCTCCTTCATCTTTCGCTATTCGAAATAAGACTTCTCAAGTGTTTGACTGTTTGTCTCTTTGCCTGTAGCAGATCAACCAAGACTTGAACATCCAGCTGCTAAAGGATGGGTACCGGCTAGATGAGATTCCAGACGATGAGGACCTGGACCTAATCCCCCCGAAGTCGGTCAACCCCACCTGCATGTGTTGCCAAGCCACCTCCTCCCCTGCCTGCCACATCCAGTAGTGAGGCCGGCGGGCTGTGATGATCAGTGCTTTCCACGACAACTGTAAAACTTAACAGCCATTGCTTCCTCCTATGGTAGGACGTGCACCTCTTTGTGTTCATGGAGCCAGGAGAAACCAAAAAATTCATTTTGTGATTGGTTGATAAAAGTTATTTTAAACTATGGTTAAACAAAAAAAAACACAAAAAAACAAGTTGCTCAAAGTGCCAGGCAGCGCCTGGAAGCACTGACTGGAGAGTGAATGCAGAGGGGTCCAGAGATACCTCCTTGCTTTGTGTAGGCACCGGGGATATTTTGTAAGGTGTCTGTTCCAGAATGGGGAGGGTCACAAGGGGCTACAGGTCATCCTGCCCACCAAAACCAATCCATCTGCAAGATCAGGTGTGAGTCTGAGGTGTCAGGGAGTTTTACCAGTGAGAGGGGATAAGTTCTTAATTCATTCACTAAGCCTGTTTCGTTTGCATAACCAAAATGATACTGTAACTGGGACACAGGAATGGGAATGGAGCAGGGCATCCTTTCTTATGGCAAAGCTAACCAGGACTACCATGGCACAATTAATTCACTTGTGAAGAGTGCAAATAGGTGGCAATTCACTGTAAATACTAGCTAGAGCTGTTGTGTCACATATCCAGTGCAATCAACCCTTAGCTCCACTTTAAATTATCACCAAACAAAGCGGAGTCGATCTGCAATGTATCTGTGCTCCTCAGGGATTCAGGGATTCATTGCCCAAGAATACTACACTCCTGAGCTCACTCCAATCACCTATACTGACTTCAGGCTATACTTAATCCCCATGAGACCTGTCTGTTTCCAAAAATCTTAAACTTTGTTCAACTAAGAAAAAATGACTCTTGCACCAGAGAGGACTAGAGCTGTACAGTCTGAAGGTCAGTGCCAGAAAAACTAGTTGAAGTTGCCTATGGGAGGGGTTTGTTAATGCTGAAGGCATATGTGTGGTCCTGTCAGACTTTAGGGAAGTTTTCAGCAACAGCAAGACTGTGAGCAGCTTTAGCTGAAAAAAAGAAAGAAGTGAGAGGAAAATACTGTTAATCCCATCTCTGCCCAGTTGTGAACTGGACTTGGTCTGTGTTAGAGTTGTCCCATGTCAGGAGCAATTCTGTTTATTTGGTGCTGCAATAGTCAGGAAACCTGGAGTCACATTAAGTTGCTGGATTGAACTGCTAGTTCAGCAGCAGATAGTTTTGAATCCAAAATAATTTCTGGAATTAGGAAACATGTCCTCTCCCTTGCCAGTCTTACACTGCTGGCTTCAGCACATGTGGTGCTCAGTAAAGGGATGGGCTGGTGTTTTTCTTGGCATTTAAATTTTTTGCCACAGGCACAAATGGGTGTTTCTCTGCCCTGCCAGGAGGAAGGACTCCTTGCCTTGTGTTGTCACTTGCTTTGTAGCCTGCAGAAGGAAAAAAGTGAGGGCAATTCTGAGCTTCCCATCATAATTCCAGAGTAACAAGGCAAAGCCTGAGCTCCACCCCAACAGTTCTCCTATCTGAAATCTGCATGAAGTGAGCTGAGTCTTTAAGAAGTCCATTATTAGGAGCAGATTTATTTAACATGCTGGGGCTTCGCTCCTTTCAGTGCAAAGCACAATACTACAGAGTGAACAAAAGAGCAGGCACACAAGATTCCTGAGCTTTATTATTCACTAGCTGTTATGGGCAACTGCTCCCTAAAACATCGTGCTGACACCCTGGCTCCTGGCCACAGAAAGTGGACTGAGCAGTCCTGTTTGCTGAGCATCCCTGCCTCCTTCAGCAGAAGTGCTGGTTATCTTGCCAGCTCCTCTAAGAGTGTTCTTCAAGTGAATGCCTCTCCCTTTCTCATCAGCTGGTAATAAGGGGGAATGTTTCCAAAATGTCTCTAAAGAACACAAAACATCAGGTCTCCAGTTCTTCACTTCTTCCTTTGTATTCCTGCTTTCCTCTCCAGTGGTACCTAAGGTTGAGGTTAGCAAGTTGTCTGGAGGTGGGGAAAGAGCTCTAACAGTGCTGTGTAGAGAGAAAAAGTAAAAGGGGAAAAAAAAATTCCTTAAAGAATCTTTTTTAATGGGGAATGTAGTGAAAGCAATTCCTATAGGACATGACTAAGTCTCTTTAATCTTCGCTCTTCTAAAGAGGGACTTTGCAGTTCAGCATTGGCACCATGCAACATCTTTGTTGCATTTATCCTCCTGGGTCAGTCTCTGTGCCTTCCAGCTGGGCTGCACATGCTCAGCCTTTACCACAGCCCTTGTTCAGGAGCTTGGAAAATGTCAGTGTGCCTGTTAGAGCAGCAAGCCATCAGTTTAGGTGGATCAGCCATGGACAACTGCAGGTTCCACAGGTCTCCATCATGCTGCCATCATGTTCAGTCAAAGATGGAATGAAGCTCACTGACACTGTCTCCCCAAGGTTAGAGCCTCCCCTCTGAAGGACAGACCTTCCCCAATAATCACTGCCCCATGGCACCATGACCAAGTCTTTCTCTTGCCCCTATTGCTAGTTTTCGGCTGCCCTGTGCCCTGAGGCATGGAATGAAGCTCACTGACACTGTCTCCCCAAGGTTAGAGCCTCCCCTCTGAAGGACAGACCTTCCCCAATAATCACTGCCCCATGGCACCATGACCAAGTCTTTCTCTTGCCCCTATTGCTAGTTTTCGGCTGCCCTGGGCCCTGAGGCATTTCTGAACTCTGCAACCCAGCAAACTGCCCTTAGCCCTTTGCATTGCGTGATGTGCATCTGCTTCTAGCACAACCCTTTAAGGTGGCAGGGAGATTAGTTTAAATGTTACACCCACTGCTTCCTCCAAATTCAGGCTGGAGCATGAGCCAAGTGTTTTTCCCTGCACACAGGTGGTGTTGATTGCATAAAAAGCTGGTTTGGCATGACAGTACAGGACCATAAAATGGCAATTTTTTGGCTTCTCCTCTCTGTGCTTTGTGTTCATATATTTTATTAGGGGAATAAAGTAGAAAGGGTGGGAAAAGTAGTTACCTGTGTAGAGTCATTATCAGGAAGGCTGAATGGATTAAGGCAATGCACATGTGGCTGTCATAGCAAACTGAACACTAGCCTTTCTGAACTGCAGCCCCTTAAGCAGGTCATGACCGTGGGGCTTGTTTGTTGGCTCGTTATGGAATATGATGGACACCCTGTCAATGTGTATTAACTGCAGATTGGGCTGGCTCTCCCTTTCTGGTCTCACCTTCAGACCTTTGCTTCAGCCAGAAGGTTTTCCTTGTGCCCTCGTAGGAATCTATGCTGTCATGACTTCCCAGGAAGGTTCGTGGATACATAGCCCTTCTGGTGCTGTTCTCCTTACACCAGTCTCTGCCACCATGGCCTGGAAGGGGCAAAAGCAAAGAGTGCAGACCCTGACTCTCTGTCACATTACTGAAAAGCCCTAAAATCTGCTGAGCTGCTGGGCACTCTCCTAAACAGAAACTGCATGAAACAAAGCAAACTGTTCCTTGTTCCAGTCTGCACCGAACCAGGTGGTCTTCTCAGGCCCCAGTTCCAGTCCCAAGTTATACTGAATACCAAGGGAAGGTGCACCATGGAGTGTGAAAGGCTGCATCACTGTCCATCTAAATTACCATGCAAATAGGATTTAAGGGTATTGATGCTGGTGTCTCCATAAAGGAATTTGCATTAGATGCCTCCTAAAGCTAGACTGGCTTTTTGTTAGGATTTTATGTAACTTCACTCACCAAATAACCTGAGTTTAAGCAAGTTTTTCCTTAAACTGGATGTTAATTTTTTCCCTTTAATGTAAGCTAGCTTTGAACTCCAGTGTCTCAGCACTCAACTCTGTCTCTCCAGTCTTGATGCTCCCCATTTCCAGATAATCTGTGTGAGAAGAAACATCCTCCTAGTGTTGAGAAAGGTCTATAGGTAGCATGGGCTAGTCTGATTTTCTGGTAGTTGTAAGTAAACTTTGGTCTGAAAGGAGGGTGATGTCCATGTGACCACCCCAAAGGCTCATTTGCTGTCTTACTGGGTGTTACCTTGAAGTCAGCCCTTGGAAGAGCCCCTGGTTCATATCTGACACTGCTGCATGTCTGCCCCCAACATGTATGCTGGGCCATTGGGTGTGCCATGCAGTTCTGGCTGTCTTGCCTGCAGATGCCTTCTGACTGCAAAAGCAGGTGACCCAGCCTGCTGCATGGACTTTGGACAGGATTTCAGGATGCTCCCCCATGGACAGGATGGATTCAGGTGCTTCTGGTTTGTCTCTCTAGCTCCTCTTGCAAAAGGAGGCACCCACTCTGCTCATCTGTGATGCTGGGCAGAATAGTTTCCTCTCCATGCAGTGTCTGTCCTCGGGCTGGCCTGCAAGGTGTACAACAGCAGGCAGGAGGCTTGAAAAGTACAGTGCCCTGTGTGTGACTCAACAGAAACATGAAGGTACTTTTGAAGAAAGGAAGAGCCCAGCTGGGCACCAGATGGAGTGACAGGGAAATAAAAACAAGCAGTAACTAGAAAGGTTGCCAAGTGCTGTCTTGGCCTAGGGCAGATCCCAGTTGTCCAAATTAATCTATCTGAGTGCAGTGCTGGTACTAGCAGGGAGCAAAGCTGGCTTTCAGATGCACACAGCAGAAACACCGTGTCCCCAGGCTGGCACCACAGCCAAACACCACAGCAGAGAGTCTGCTGGACTGCTGGAGCACAGAAATCTGGGGTCCCTGGCTGCTGTTAGCACGTGGTACCCATCTGCTCTAACCTCAGGCCAGTTACATTCCCTCGATTTCCACTTCCTTCATGTCGGCAAGTGTGTGATGGGCACCACTGATAGAACAGCTCTGTAAGCAAGGTGCAAAAAGCATGAGATAGAAATTTTATAGAGATTTTCAAAGTACTACTCTGCTTCCCCTCTGTTTGCCAGCTTCTGCTGTTGCTTGCATGTGCCAGAAGGCTACAGGGTGGAGGTTAGGAGAGAGATTAAACAGCTTTAGGGGAAGATGTTTGGCAAGGATGTGTTTCCCAATTATTTGGCAGCTTTCTCTTGCACAGCCGGATTCTCAGTCTGCAGCTGCCACAGGGAACATGTCAGGTTTGGCAGCCAACAGCACCATCCCCTGCTAGTAGAATCAAGGAATTTAGGAGTGTGACTG